CAGATAAAAATAAAGGCATTGTGTTGTGTCCATCTACACATAAAAAATAAATATTTCACTGGGATTTCAAAAACAAGTAAGACACAGTCTATACCCCCAAGGAGTTCATCTAATTTATTTAAACACATTTAAAAAGGTATTTCTTTGGATTTTTATGTTTGACTGAAGTTGGATTAAATTACCTCTTGTGTTTCTTCTAAGCTTAAGATTCTGAGATGCTAAACTTATTTCATACTACAATAAAGCTCAAGACTAATTTAACACTAACATCAAAAAAAAAGGACCCTGAGAATTTTTGAGGGTATTTTTTTTTTTTTAAGGACAGTGGGAACTATATGCTTACTGACAGAGAACAAGGGCTGAGACAAATGAGTCAAGGACAAAAAAAAGTATCCAGGCCTGGTGGCACACACCTGTAATCTCAGTGACTTAGGAGGCTGAGGCAGGAGATTGTCAATTCAAAGCCAGCCTCAGCAACTTAACAAGGCCCTGAGCAACTCAGCAAGACCCTGTCTCAAAATAAAATATAAAAAGGGCTGCAATCAGTGGTTAAGCATCCTGCCCCTGGTTCAATACCTAGAAGAAGAAGAAGGAGAAGGAGAAGGAGAAGGAGAAGGAAGGAAGAGGAAGAGGAAGAAGAGGAGGAGGAGGAGGAGGAGGAGGAGGAGGAGGAGGAAGAAGAAGAAGAAGAAGAAGAAGAAGAAGAAGAAGAAGAAGAAGAAGAAGAAGAAGAAGACTGATAGATTAATTACCAGCCATACACTTATTTGGAGAAGAAAATGAATGTATTTTTATATTTGTAAGAGAGGAAGATCTAGGAGTTTTTCTTTCTTTCTTTTTTATTTTTGAAAGTCTATGTCTTCTTAGTAAACAAGTCATTTGCTGTATGAAGCAATAATGAAGAAGTAGAGCTTAAGTAGAGAAGAAAAACTTCAAAGCATATCATTAAAAAAATCTATAGGAGTCAATGGAAAAAAAAATAATTGCTCATCAAAACAAAGAGCAGTGACCAAGGTAGAGTGGAGATAGATTTCACAAGAATTTAGGAAAAGATAGAATGGAAACTTATTCTGTACAAATAGTGGTAAATCATAAGAACCTGCTGAAATTATCCAAGTAAAGGGCCCTCAACCTGAGGTAAGCAATAGTAAGAAGGTGGAGGAGAAGGTGAGATAAACCAGGAATATGGTCAAAAGATTGGATGAGTGGTTGATTCTCTAAAATTTAGTCAATGATGTGTAGAGCCTTTATAAACTTTGGAAAAACCTGAGTCAAACAGGAACCCTACTTGTTTGATTATTCCCAGACCTGCATGACAGGAGAAGGGACTGGTTGGGTTTTGTACCTTGGGATGAAGGTGCAAGCAAAGAAGAATGGAGGAAGTCTGCTTTGACCACAAGGCGGCTGTGAGTCCAGGGCACAGATTGATGTAGGGGAGTGTTGAAAGATATAATGCCCCTTCTGGACTCTGCTTTGAGCAGAACATGATATGGTCATTCAGTTAGCCTTCTGGACCAGCCCTCAAGGGGAAGGGTAAAAAATCTTTGAGAGAGGATCATAAAATTGAAAAAATAGATGACTTTAGAAATACTTGATTTTCTTAAACATACTGAAAGGGAACTCTCTTTCCATTTAGAGGAAAGAGTGAAGGTTTTCATCAGAGCAGGGAGAGGCCAATGGCAGCTTCAGAATGAAATCACTGCTTGGGGTAAGGGAACAACATTAGCAGTGGGAATCTGTGGGGGATGCACAGAACAGCTGGTATTAGTGGTTTATAAACTTTTAAGGCCTGCTAAACCTGACATGGTTCATGTTCAAGAATGTCCTCCTTCCCCCTTCTTGCTGGTCTTCCTGCCTGCCTTTGAGTACTTTCCATATGTTATATAATAATGGACTAGGTACCTGGGGTTGGAGAAGGTCCCATTCTGATGGAGCTTATAGTCCAGTTGGGAGTGGGATTGAAGGGAAAAATACATCTGGATATTAGAACAAAACAAAAAGAATCCTGTCTTTATGATTTACCACACTGACTCCTCAAGATGTGAAGTGTTTTGGGTGTATGTGTATTTATAGTTTAGGTGTGTGTGTGTGTGTGTGTGCGCGCGCATGTGCACACATGTGCATGTGCATGCATGTGTATGTGCAGGGGGGAGAGAGAGAAAAAAAAATGGAAGTATAGAAAACAAGAAGTAACTGTGCACTTTCCCACTATGCCATTATCCATGTAAATCAAATAACTACCAAATAATATCTTCGTAGTAGTGGTTTTGGTCTCATGTGGTAATGTGGCATAAGTTATGGGGATACCTTTCTATTGTTTTGTTTTGTATTGTTTTAAGGTTCATTGCTGATAAAATAAAAATGTGATATTTAATATAATAAAGATTAGTGAGATAGACATTCTTCTAATGTGACTGCAGGGAATATAAATTTGTTAAAATTTTTCTGGAAAACAATTTGGCAATGTGTAGTAAGAATTAATATCTTCATGTCTTTTCAATATGCAACTTAAGGGAATTTATCTTAAGGGAAATTATTCATAGTGTGGACAAAGAAATGTGCACTACAGCATAATTAATAACAAAATGTTAAGAACTAAAATTACATTTGAAGAGAGAAATGACTATCATGCTATGGTGCATCTATAGCATGAATGCAACATAATAATTTATGTGCTCAGGAGTTTTAAATGACATGAGAGAAAGCTTATGATACATGCATTATGTAAAAAAGGATTCAAATTTTATATGCTGCATATTCTTAATATTTAAAAGAATTCCATAAAATCGGGTGGAAGAAAATAGGTCAAAATACCTTATATCTTGAGTGCTTTCCCACAATTTGTCCATGTGACTTCTATATATAGAAATATTAGTAACATTAGTTTTGAAACCGTGCTTCAGAAGAGGGAACTCAATGTCTGTGTAGATGATGTTTCATAAACCATTGAGTCCTATTCTGGCACCGTCTGGAAAACACTTACACATATAACTATAATATCAATCAAATTTTTGTTAAAGAATTCACCCAATGTCTCAATTTTAGTGTTGTGAAACCAATTTTATTTTCTACTTTAGAAAGTTTTTTCTCACCCTTTTCACAGATGGAAGCCTGTCTTTATCCATGCAGTGACTCCACTGAATAGTGGAAATGACTTTTACTGGATAATAATTTTGTGGGAAATTATTTTAATTAAATAGAAAGAAAAAAACCACGCTATTTTAAAAATAGGGCAGTATTTCTCAAAACATGGTTCCAATTTCCTTTGTATTGGAGTCATCTCTGATGCTTGTTAAAAATGTATACATCCCTGGAATGCAAGCATATCTCAGTGGTAGAGCGCTTGCCTAGCCTGCAAGAGGTCCTGGGCTTTAAACGCAGGAAAAGAGGGGGCATGGGGAGGGAGAGAGATGTCCCCTATCTTACTAACTTATATTCTCAACATAGGCCCCAGTAATTTTAATTTTAAAGACACATCCCAGATAATTCTGATATTCTCTAAGAATCACTAATTAGGGAAAAGAGACTTGAGTTTTAGAAATTCTTGAATAGAATCTTGTCTACTTTAACGTTTATTAAGTAGAATTAGATCCCTTTCGCCCTTCAAATTGCATGCCTACCTACTGTTCTCCCATAATCTTTTAAGGAGGTTTTAAGTGGTAATGGTTCTGGGAAGGTTGGTAGTGTGATAGTATAGGAAGCTTGTTTTCACTAGAAAGCACCATTTCTTCTAGAAAGGTCCCATTTCTTCTGGGGTATCTGTTAGTAGAATGCTTGCCTAAATCACTGTCCAGTAGAGTTTATTACTCCTAATGCAACAGGCCTCTGTGAAGAGCCATGACATCCTGAGCATATGCTCTAGAGTCACTCATGCCTGTCACTATGTGCGGTGGTCTGGATGTTAATCCCCAAGATGATTATATTAGGAGGTGAGGCCTTGGGAGTGTCATAAATTTGTAACCTGCATGAGAGATTAGTGCCCTTATGCAAAAAGCCCCAGAAAGCTGCATTTCCCTCTCACTCTGTCAAAGAAAACAGGCCCTCAGCAGATAATGAACCTGTTTTGCACCTCAGTCTTGGATTTCTCAGACTCCAGAACTGAGAGCAATGAATTTTGGTTGTTTATTAGCTACCCAGTTTACGATACTCTATTGTAACAGCTGAACAGAGTAAAATGTTGTGTGCCTGGATGACTTAAACAAGTTGAAATCTTAGGTTCTTCTTGTGTAAAATGGAGATAATACTGGGACCAGGCTAATGATGAAAGGTTATATGAAAAACATTTAGAGGAAGACACGCTAGGCCGTAAGCACTTAGAAGTGTTTACAGTGATGATTTCACAAGGGTTCCTCTATACAAGGCTGGGAGGTCAGGCTTTTGGGTTGACTTACAAGACCATGTTATTTAGAAGACAAGCCCAGGGATTTAGAGTAATCCCAAATTCTTGGTTGGGTGGAGAGGGAGGAGGGAGTATAGTGGCAGTGAAGCCAAGTTTACTAACAGTTCTTTATCTAGACCAGATTTCTGATATCAGTTGGTTACATGGAACATCCAAATCTAATGTCATTTGTTGAAATCTACGCTTTCAGGGCTGGTCTAGGACTGAATTGAATTATGTAAGATATCACTTGCAGAGTGATGTTCATTTGCATAACTTCTCAGTTCCAAAGACAGTAAGAATTCATTTCTACACACACACACACACACACACACACGGCCTTAATCCTGGCCACTCATACATTTCTAGAGTGCCACTTCTATAAAGCTATTTTAGATTCTAATAAATGTCTGCTTTTATGGTAGATAACACTGTGAAATACATTTGCTCCACACTTTCTTGCCATATTGGTGAATACTGCCTGAGTGAAATGACTTTTTATACTTTTCCCTATGTGAACTTGGATGGACTAGGCATCTCTAGGGATTGCTCACCTTTAGGAAAACATCTGTTTGCCAGAAACACACCAAATTAGGCCAAGACAATTACCAGGAGCAATCCTTTATATTATCCAGTTGCACAACACACTTCTTGAATAAATGACATATCCTAACTTAGGATACATCACCAGATTCAAGTCAGAGAGTATCCTCTGCCAGTCAATGAGAGTGCGGGTCACTGGAAGATCCCTTCGTATAATTTTTCTCAGGGCTTCATTGGATAACTCCTGTAATTCGTCTAAGACGGAAGCTTGAAATCTATTCTCTTGCTCTTCCACAAGTCTTGCGAAACTTAGAGCCAATTGAGCTTGGTTAACTACTTCCAAGCTTTCTTTCAGGTCCTTAGATATTTTGACATGAAGGTTGACACACCTGAAGAAGTGAGCTTGCAGGAAAATTCTTCCTGTGACTTGGGTTAGAAATGGATTCACTTGGAAAATCCATTTAGATTTCCAAAGGCCATTCCAGCAGTCTCCTGTTTCATAGTTGTGATCCTCGATGCAAGCTATCAAGAACTCCTTATTTTTGATAGTTTTTCTCAGCACATTGCAGTTTCCTGTTGGAAAGTGGTCATTAACGTAGAGTTTTAAGGCACACAGAACAACAGTTCTCAGATATTCAGTCTCATTCCGAATAATACCGTGACTTTGGATGTCTCTCAACTGATTTTGAAGTAGGTCAAATTTGAAAGAAAGTTTGCTTTGATAGTCAAAAAATCGGTAGTCACCCATTACATTGTGGTGAGATAAGAGTACTGGATTTCCATCGATGCAGAGTGGAACAGAATATTTTTGGCAATGTTGGTGGCCTGCACACTCACCTTGATGGTGCATGAGTTTTTCATCACGTATAAGCAGACAGAGATCATCAAAGGCATTTACAAATTCCCCTGGAGGTGCCTGTATTAATAGTCTGCGAATTACTCTTTCTTTCTCTTTCCTACTTAGAACGCTAAGTGACATGTTTGGTGACAGCAGAAGCAAAGCTTCTGAAATGAGTGTTCAAAGGATGAGAAAACATTCCATGGGACACGTTTCCCATCAAGGTGTTAATCATTCAAGCTTAAGATCATTATGTCCACCCATGAAAACAGACAGGCTGGCAAGCTCTGAGTCTCCCAGTGAAGTCATAAAGTCATGCTTCTTTATGAAGTGTGGAACTTTTGATGATATCACAATGGGTGTTCAGACCAAAAGAAAAAATGACAGTCACCTGATAGCGTGGTGCCCAGTCAACCAGCTATACCAATTTTGAAGATTTTAAGAACTTAGCCTCCTGAACAGGCTTCTTCAAAAGTGGTGTGTGTCTATGTGCATTGTATGTTGTCAGGGACCTAGAGAAACTACCCAGAGTTTCTAGGGAGTGTTTGACAGCATGTTCCAATCTTCAAGGATCACAATGGCATTGATTTTTACTCAGGCCCTTAGAATAGCTGCCCCAACCCACTGGAAGCACATTGTGATGAGAGGTTTGAAGGCTTTGAACAAAATGGTAAAAATAAAATGAGATATAGCAGTAGTCAACAGAAAAGTGCCGGACAGCAAGGGATGTGGCATTTATAATCATTGTGGTTAGAAAATGTAAGAAACCCAAAAGGTTGGGCAGGATCATGCAGTGACCGTGTCTTATGTGATATTTCCGTGCCATTTACGTATGTTCGTTTCAAAGAACAAAGGCAACAAACCACTGTGTGTTCTTTGCTTTCTCCCTAGAAAAGTGGTGGCAGTGGCAACAGCCGATGAGTACCAAGAAATTCCTTTTCCACAGAGAGGCAGAGTTAGTTACATTTGGAACCTGTGACAACACCAACTGAGGAGAGACTTCTAAGCAAGGAGAAACTTCAGGATAAGTCATGAAAATATGGAAGCAAGATATCCATTGCAAAGTTCTTTCGGTTCCTTTTTCCTTGTCTTTTTCTTAGTTTATCCTCTTTGACTCTTTTTCTCATTCTTTTTAGAAAAGTAGCAGTCTGAAGTCTCTCACTTAAATGTGAACTATGGCTTTCTTCCCTTATCTGTCCTGCACTTTCCTGTGGCTCGTCCTATAAGAACACACATTTTGTCACATGGCTATTCAATTTGAAGACTTTTCATAGGTTCTGACAATCTGAAATTGAGTGGGATTTTGAACAGTATTTACCTATAGCTTTTATGATTTTATAGATCGCTAGATTATTTTATCTTAACCTTAGTTTTCAGATTGAAGTGTCCTAATTTTTGTAGTGTATCTGTATATAATAAGTACACTAGATTATTTTATTTTTGTCCCTTGTACCAAATATATAGTTATCAAGTTATTTTGAAGCCTTATTGATTGTTCCTAGAATGTTCTTTGGAGGCATATATTAAACTGGACATTTGAATAAAGTTATAATAGTATTTACTCATTGTTACTATATTTTGAATGCTCAGTAGCAAAATCTGTGTTCAGTGATGTAGTGTGAATTTATTTAATGCTTCCACCTTCCATAAGATTAAGTATCATTTTTCCCACCTTTCTGCATGAAGGAAGTAAAGTGAGAGGGAATCTTGGAGCCCAGCTGCCTGTGAAGTCCAAGCAAAGCCCTATAATAGCGTTTTAATGTGTTTCCCAAGTAATAACTTCATTTCTGGTATTTTGTTTTTGTTATGCTTTTTCATATCTTTATTATAGAATAGTAACTTTTTAATTTTGTTTTAAATATTATTTATCATATCTTGTCATTTACTTTAATCATAAATACATCATCTTTTAAAATTAAAATAAATACTGTAAACTGAAGAAAGATAAAATATTTAAGAATTTTAAATATTCAATTACTTTCTTTGAGAATTTCCTTAACTTTTTTTGCTTCATACATGGTTTTTGTCGAAGATTCAGGATGAATTTAGAGGTGGAAAAATTAACATAGAAAAAACTCATAGATTACTTGAAAAATTAGATATTCCTTGCAATTTTGGTCATGTGAAAAATATTTTTAAGGTGAGATGATATCCACCCCCTGCCTATCCCATTCTAGGAAGAACTTAATTCAATATGAGTAAATATTAATAGCTAACTTGAATGCTTTCTATAGAAAATACATTAAAAATGAATCTCTTTAAGAATAAAAGAAATTATGTTAATTATATTTACAATCAATTTGAAGCAAATTTAGATAAGAGGTAAAACTAGTTTTTGATAAAATTTGAAATAATAACAGACTATTGGTTTAAAACAATTTCCTGATTATACAGGAATGCTTCCATCAGATCTTGGATTAGGTGTATAATTAGCCTTGGCCGTATAAGGCATGGAAGAAGAATCTAAGTCCAAAATTTGCAGAAGAAATGGAATAATAAAGATTAGTACAAAAATGAGTGCAATAGAAATAAACACTAATAGAAGGAATCAATGGAATTAATAGTTTTTTTTTGAGAAGATAAAATTGATAAACCCTTAGCAAGACTAAGAATAAGAGAGAAGATTCAGAAAAATAAAATTGTAAATGAAAGTGAAGACATTCCAGTTGATCTCACAGATATAAAAAATAGATTATAAAGGACTATTATGAGCAGTGATAGACCAACAAATCTAACTACTTAGAATCCATAGAGAAATTCCTAAAAATAGTCAGCCTACCAAGACTGAATCAAGAGCTTGAAAGCCTGAATAGACCAACAGGCGAAGATTGAGTTAGTAATCAAAAATCTCCCAAGGAAAAAAAGCCTAGATCTAGATGCTTTTTTGGGTAAATTATTCCAAAGATTTAAAGAATCAATACCAATTGTTCTAAAATGTTTTCAGAAAATAGAAGAGGAAACACTTCCACTGTCATTTTATAAAGCTAGAAAAACCCTCATACCAAAGTCGTACACAGACACCACAAATAAGCTACAAGACAATATTTCTGATGAACGTAGATGAAAAATTCCTCAACAAAACAACTGGAAAGTCAAATTCAGTAGCGCTTTAAAAGGATCATACTTCATGACCAAATGGGATTTATCCCTAGTGAGAAAGGATGACCTAACATACAGAAATCAATCAATGTGACCCATCAATGTCAATTAACAACGAAGAATAAAAAAATCACATGATCATCCCCCAAAAGGAAGAAAAATCATTTGAAAAAATTCAACATCTTTTTATGAAAAAATAACATAGCTGTCAAGAAATTAGGTATAAAAGGAAATTACCTCAACATGATAAAGTCTGTGTATGAGAAGTCCACAGCTAAAATAGTGGGTGAAAAATTGTTTTTTCTCCAAGGTCTGGAACAAAGCAAGGACACCCACTCCTACCACTTCTCTTCAATATAGTAATGGAAGTTCTAGCCAGACCAATTAGTTGAGAAAAATAAATAAAAGGTATTTAATTTGGAAAGGCAGAAGTAAAATTATCTGTTCACAGATGACATGATCTTATATGAAGAAAACTATGATGACTCTGCCAAAATACTATTATAACTAATGAATTCAGTAGGGTGGCAGACTACAAAACTAACGTGCAAAAATCAGTTGCATTTCTTTGCACCACTACTGAACTACTCAAAAAAGAAATCCAGAAAATTATCTCATATACATTAGCATTAAAAAGAACAAAATATTTAGGAATAAGGTTAACCTAGGAGATGAAAAGCTTGTTAAAAAAAAAAACTACAAAACATTGATGAAAAAATTTAAAAAGGTACAAATAGATGAAAGACATGCCATGTTAATATGTCCATACTACCCTCGATCTGCAGTTTTGATGCAATCTCTATTAAAATCCCAATGGCATTTTTTTCTTTTTTACTGAAATAGAAAAGAACTCCTAAAATTCATAGTGGACTAGAAAAGACCTTGAATAGACTAAATAGTCTTGAGAAAGAATAAAGATGAAGGCATCAGAATTCCTGATTTCAAAATATATTTGTAATGCTGCAGTAATCAATAGTATGGTATGGGCATAAAAAGACATATAAACCAATGGAACAGAGTGGAACGTCCAAAAATAAACCCATTCATATACAGTCAACGGATCTTCAAAAGAAGTGCTAAGAATACACACTGGGGAAAATAGAGTCTCTTGAATAAAAGGGGCTGGGAAAATTGGATATTTACATGCAAAAGAACAAAAGTGAATGTTTATACCATACACAAGGATCAATTCAAAATTCATTAAAGAGCCAAGTGAGGTGGCACATACCTGTAATCCCAGCAGCTCAGGAGGCTGAGGCAGAGGACTGCAAATTCAAAGCCAGCCTCAGCAACTTAGTGAGACCCTAAGCAACACAGCGAAACTCTGTATCAAAATAAAAAAATAAAAAGGTCTGGGGATGTGGCTCTCAGTGGTTAAGTGACCCTGGGTTTAATCCCTGCTACGTGCCCCGCCCCCAATACATTAAAGAATTGTCAGACCTGAAATATAAAAATCTTTAAAGACAGCATGGGGGAAAAACTTCTTGACATTGATCTTGATGATGATTTCTTGGTTTTAATGCCAAAACACAGGTAGAAAAAGTAAAATAAGACAAATGAGATTATATCAAATAAATGGCTTTTGCACAGCAGTTAAAATCACAAAATAAAAAGCAACCCAAAGAAAGTGAGGAAATATTTGTAAAATATTTAACAAAGGTTAATATTTGAAATATGTAAAGAAACCCCAAAACTCAACAAGAGAAAATTCATAATTTGATTTAAAAATGAGCAAGGAAACTGTAATGGATAGTTCTCCAAAAAAGACATACACCTAACCAACAGGTATATAAAGTACTTAATATCACTAATTGCCAGGAAGATGCAAATCTAACCACATGAACTATCATACATCTATTAGAATAGCTATTTAAGGAAAAGGATAGCAAGGGTTGAAAGGATATGGAGGAAAGGGCACCCTTGTACACTGTTGATAGAAATGTAAATTGGTGAAGCAAATGTAGATCAGTATGGAAGTTTCTCAAAAAATTAAAAATAGAGCTAGCATATGATCCAGAAATCCTACTTATGGGCATATACCCAAAAGCATTGAAATCAAGATCTGGAAGAGGTGTCTGCATTCAATGTTCATACCTTTATGTACTCTAGTCAAGATATGGAAGCAACGTAAGTGTCCATCAACAGAAGAATGGATAAAAAAATGTGGCATATACATACAATGGAAAATCATTCATGTTTTAAAAGAAAGTCTGCCATTTACAACAACATGTATAAACTTAGAGGCCATTAAACCAAGTGGAATAAGCCAGACACAGAAGGACAAACACTACAAGATACCACTTATGTGAGGGATCTGAAAAGGTCAAACTGATAGGAGCAGAGAATGGGGGTATAAGGAGCAGGGTGGTGTTAGAAGATACAGTGTTAGTTAAACAACATGAATAAGTCCTGGAGATCTACTTATAGGGTGGTGCCTGTAGTAAATAACATTGTATCATATCCTCAAAATTTGGTATGAGGCTAGAACTTACGTTGAGTGTTGTTAATACACACACACACACACACACACACTAATAAAGAGGGTAGAAGGAAAATTTTGAAGGGGGTGGTTATGTTTATAGTGATGTTTCCATGGTTCTACACTTATATCCATACTCACTAATTTGTATACATTTAATATGTAAACTTTTTACAAATCAATTAGGCTTCAGCAAACTAGTTTAAAAATATCAAAAAGGAATAAGTAATAAGACATTCCTGTTTTGCTTAATCCAAAGGAGAAAACCATATCCCTAATTCTCTTTTAAACAAGAACTATCAGGAGGGGAATCTGGCTTCATTCTTTTTTTTTTTTTTTTTGGTACCAGGGTTTGAACCCAGGGGTGACCACTGATCCATACCCCCAACCCTTTTTATATATTTTTATTTAGAGACAGAGTCTCACTAAGTTGTTTGGGGCATCACTGAATTGCTGAGGCTGGCCTTGAACTTTTGATCCTCTGCCTTAGCCTCCTGAGCCTCTAGATTTACAGGCGTGCACCACTGTGCCTGACAACCTGGCTCCATTCTGTCACTAAGTGACAAAGGAAGGATTGTGAATAAAGCAGGAATGACTAAGTGTTTCAGGTGAGTTTTGGTCTAGGAACATGACACATTTTTTTGAAGAATGAGACAAGAGTGCTAGATTGGTTAGTATAGATAGTGAGGGATACAGAAATCCCAAATATGATTTTGTTTTTTGAAAGTAAGTACTCAGATAACCCAATCTCCCCTGAAGCTGTCATTGCTGACAGACTATAAAGGACATTTTACCCTGACATTTTACCCTACTTGCCAGGTAGCAAGTTTGCCTGTTGTAGTATCATGGATCCTTACTGAGGCAGGCTTGTAGATCAAAGAGAGAAGACAAGAAAATCAGCAGTTACCACAGTATTAGCATTTTGATGCTACTTCACCAAACCCCAGTTGCCAAAGAATGATATGAAGAGGACCAGATGCCTGCTGTGGGATGTTGCTGGTTGGGGGTTGTAAGAGAGGAAACTCAAGTTGATGGTTTCCAGCTCTTTAATGAAGGATGATAAGCCAGTCTGATCTTTAACTTGAGGCTGTCATTAACATTAATACAATGGATAATAAGCAAACCTGCTTTTTCCTTTGGAGGAAGATGCTATCTTTACCAAAGCTATTTGCTATACAAATATCCTGGGAAAGCTAACCCAGAGGAAAGGTAGTCAGTACCTTGTCTCAGGAGACACTTTGAAACTCATGAGACCTATGGGAACCTGTCTCATACTTCTCTCAATAAGCCTTAGCCCTCAAGTTTACCACGCACAGGGAATCCAAAAAGGAAAAGCTGTACTTCTCAGGAGACCACAGTAAAAGACGACAGTTTCACAGTTGTTTCTCAGAATCCAAGTAGTACATGCTTCCATAAGCTGTAGGAATTTTAACCAGCTCATGTCTAAGGCTGCATTTGCAGACACGAGTTTCAGTGAAAAGCCCTTTACAAGAAGGATTTCCCCTCAATGTTAACTCCCAAAGGGAGAGACAGCTCACTTTTTGATTTAATACAATTCACAG